TGCGCTCGCGTACTCGAGGAAGCAGAGGGCACGATGCGGAACCGAGCAGTCCAAGCCACCGGACAGACCGATGAGCTCGCATGACATGACATTCGGGCCGTCCATCAAATTTGCTCAGTACGCTGTCGGCCACAGGCGAGACGGGGTCTTTACCATGTACTGCGAGGAAAGTCAAAGGCGGCCAGAGGTTAGCTCGAGAACATGCTGATGCTGTGCATCTTGCGGTCAGAATTTGCAACTCTCACGTCCAAGTAATCCTTGAAAGTCATCCGTGAAGAAAGCATCGACGTCAGCGCGCTGCGCGTCTCGCGTTGTCTGACGCTGCTCCTACTCACTTTGCCCAGCTGCTCGCTCTTGAGCATCATACGCTCTTCGTCATCCATTCGCCTCACGACCAGAGCCTGAAGCAGATGACAAGATATGATATCATTGCTGGGTCAGAGAGGCGCAGGAGGAGCGTGGAAGAGATGGGCGGGACCACGAGACTACGCACCCCTGTGAGTGTGACGTTGACCACAGCCAGGATCAAAGCTGCAAGTCGCCAGGCTGGCGTGGTGTACGGCGCATAGGGCCCGTGGAGAAAGGAAGCACCAAGCACCGCAACCAAGATGGCGGTGTAGGAGGGATGCCTGACGAAAGCGTACGGCCCCGTAGTGATGACCTGCGCGCATATACGCAGCTCCTACTCAACTAGAGCGTCCCTTTGCACAATCATCCCGCTGTCAGTACGCACCTTCTGTCCCGACTGCACAGCAAGATCGAATGTGAAGCTTTTGCCCAGCGTCTGATAGCACCAGAGACGACCCGCACCTCCAGCAGCTACGAGGGCGCAAGCCAGCCTATATCGACCTTGATCCTTGCTTTCCACCCACAGCTCCAAACTGCGTCCACTGCCGTGATTAGCTCTCCACAGTGACCTGATGTGCAGCGCAGTGAGCACAAACAACAGAGCATGGAAGAGGCGCTCCAGACTGGTGAGTCCCAGCTTGCGAATCAAGTCTTCTGGCTCTCCATTCCCTTCCGCCTTGCCAGCCTTCTTTTTCGCCTTGGACTTGGCGCTCGGCGCTCGTGCGGGTGGTGTGGTTCCTGCGATCAGCAGTCCACTCGCAGTGATGACTGACAGAGCGTCAATCGCAAAGTCAAGGTTGCTGAGCATGATGTTCAGATGAGACGATTTTGGTTGCGGATGTCTCGGCAAGTTATGTAGAGTCGCACGAACGGATGACTGCCACGAAGATGAACACTCGAGCGAATGAAACAGATGCTCAAGAGCTAGTCACAGGAAGTTGCGTGTGGAAAGAGCGGCCGTGGATCGATCGAATCATGAGGGAGAGAGAATTTGCGAGCTCTTATCAGCCAGCTGTTATGGAGAGGCTACGCGGACTTGTACGGCTGCATACCTCCTGCGGGGTCTCCACTTCGAGGGCCAGCCGAGGATCACGTGACTTGAGACTTTTGGCACAAGCGAGTTTTGAGGGAGTCTCGAGTTTGAGTCTTGAGTCAAAAGATCGAGGCTTGCAAGCTTATGCATGTATGGTTCCAGCCATACAACACCCAGCAGGGTCGATGACGAGTCCAGCGTAATCGGGAGCTGCAAGTACGCAAGTCTCGAGTGACCGCTCACGACTCGCGAGCTAGGAATCGCTGCTTGCGGACCGAACGAAGTAGCAGTCGCGAGTGTTGGCCGGCTGTGCGCCCACATCCATGTAGAGTAGGGGGCACAAGATGAGCAACTCAGACACTTAAGGCTATCGAGGCAACTTCACTCGAAATAACCGCGAGACGCTTGATCTCGGGATCTGTCATTGTTCAGACAGCCGCCTCGCAGATCGCCCATTGCACATGCGTACGCTTGCGCGTCGGTGTAGGCAGATGTGGATTGGTGTGCGATTGAAGGAAAGAGTGACGCGTAACGTACATTGGAGCCTTCGTGCTTTGTCAAGAAGGGTGCGTAAAGAGAAGATTGCGCAGCCGAGAGGCTCTACTCGTCGTCCTGCAAAGAGAAAAATTGATGACGATCAGGCAAGTGCATAGCGGCGCCAGTACCTGTCGCCGACCCGCAATGCGCCAAAAGACTCACCTCCGACAGCTTGGGAGCCAGGTAGAAGCGCACGTGGCCATCATCAAAGCCAAATTCGCACTAGATGGGTGGAGAGAGCAGTGTTCAGCAAGTGATTGCAAAGAGAGCACAACATCAATGATCGACTAACCAACAAAGGCACCTCATTGCTCATGTGAAGGCTGACACGATCGCACAATGGCGCCGCTTTAGCAAACATGGTGAGATACTTGAGACTGAAAGTGAGGGAGACGGATTGGTTGAGTCTGATCTCTACTGGCACCACCTTATCTTCGCCGGAGCCCGCCTTGCGCTTCTTCTTGTTGGGCTTGCTGTCTTCATCGTCGTCGTCGTCATCGTCTCCAGCACCAGTAGCGCTACCAGCGCCTTGCTTGAGAGTGAGCTTGGCCACACCCAGTTCTCCGTCCGCGCTAAAGCCGACGCCTTCCTTGGACACGTCGATCCTTACGCTCTCGCCGACTACGCTCAGGTCCCTGCAGATGCGTGCGTACTCTCCAGACGCCATTGACACCACGGCGTCGTACTGAGTGTCCGGAATGCCCAAGTGCTCCGAATCGATGTCCATCAACTTCATATCGTACTCGGCAACTCTGTCCGACTTGGAGCTCTCAAACATGATCCCCAGGCTGTCTCCATCGTCATCCTTCTTGATGGTGACAGTGTCGTTGTTGTCTGCGGTCTTGATGATCTTGGTCAGGCTGACAAGGGAGACACCAATGCTCATAGGCCTGTCGCACCTGTAGGGTGCGAATCCATCGCTGTGCAACAAGCGAGGCAACACGAGCGGGTTTACGTACAGGTTAGCGAGAGGCGGTCTCCTGGCCATACTCCAGTGGGTTGCACGACTCACGATCGAAGCTCGACTGATGACAGCGCAACGTGAGAATTGTCCATTGCTTGCATGCGGATGCCTTCTTCATTGCAGTCAAAATTGGCATCCGTGATGAGGTCTCTGACAGCGTCAATGACCTTTTTGAGGGTGGAGGCACTTTGCATGCGTGCTTCCAGCATGATGGGCGAAGGTGTGTCGAGGAAGAGCTTGCAAAAGGGTCAGAGGGTCGAATGGGAACCGAGGTCAAGAGATGCTGTGAATGCGAGGCTCGAGGGATCAATGAAAGATGCTGGGAGTGGTGTGGAAGAGTGTCGAGAGGCCCATTGCCCCGTACGTACGTGATGCTGACTCGCATCCGCGTGGCGCCTGGATATGCTGTTGGTCTCTTTGCTGCAGCACGCGCGTCTGCGCGACTCTTGACCTGCTAGACCGACGCGTTCGCGCGCTCTAGCTGATGCAGCACTCCCACTCGAGACTTTTAAATTGATCAAGGCAAACAACGCGCGCGGCATGCACGCGTCGCGTGAGGTCGAAGTCGCGCGCCCTGTGGAATGTCGTACGAGAAATATAGGCGCGCACTGCAGACTCGATTATTTTTGCCCAAATCACGAATGCCTCGCGGCGGTGCTTGGCGGCAACCTCACGCACCTGCCGCGCACCCACTCGATATGGTGCTTCTGCCCGTGTAAATGCTCTTTCGACTTCGTTCCTAACCCGTACTGCGACTCGAAAACCTGATCGCTCGACCCACAGCAAGCTGAAGAGTGTTAGCATCTACGACCATTCTCATCTGCTTGTGTTGACCAACTTTGCTCGCCTTGCAAGGCATCATGCCCGCTCTCACAGAGGCGATTCACTCGCAGTATGACTCGATTTTGATTCTCGACTTCGGGTCGCAGTACTCGCACTTGATCACTCGAAGATGTCGAGAGCTCAACGTCTACTGCGAGATGCTTCCGTGCACTCAAAAGATCTCTGAGCTAGATTGGAAACCCAGCGGCATCATCCTATCTGGCAGCCCCTACTCAGTCTATGACGAAGGCGCGCCCAGAGTTGACCCTGCGGTGTTCGAAGCAGGTGTGCCCGTGCTGGGTATATGCTATGGCTTGCAAGAGATTGCCTGGAATCACGGTGGCAAGGTCGACCCACACGATAGGCGAGAGTATGGCAAGGCGGTCATCGACGTGGTCAAGACGGGAAATACACGCATGGACCGCCTCTTTAAGGATGAGCCCAGCCAGGTACCAGTGAGTGGAGATGGGGGTCGATCGATGGAATGAGCTGCGCTCATTCCATGCGCGTCTTACGTCCCCCTTTCACTTCAGGTATGGATGTCACACGGCGATCAGCTATCAAAGCTGCCGGACAACTTTAAAGTCATCGCTCGGACTCCGACGGCTCCTTTCGCCGCCATTGCGCACGAGACCAAGGACATCTTCGGTGTGCAGTTCCACGCTGAGGTGACGCACTCTCCGCGGGGCAAGGAGCTGTTCTCTGCATTCATCGACATCTGTGGCGTGCGCCGGGATTGGAACATGGTAAGCTAGGACAAGTTTCAAAG